GTAAACATAAAACCATGTCTGCATTTGTGATCGGAGAAATGACAAACAACAAACTCTACTCTACACTGCTCAAAACTCACGTTTGAATCGTCAGTGGCAAATCCTTTAAATATAAAACCGTACTTACAGTCTGTGAGTCAGAACAGAACATTGTAGTCTACTCTCCCAGGATCAGGAAACAGTCCTCCATAAAATGTGCTGCACACATCTGAATATTTGGTTTGAAGTGTTCTGGAACAGTGTTGTAAATACAACTTAACCACTGATTTCTAGTCGTGTCCTCTTTTGGAAGACCAAACAAAGTAGTTTAGCTTTCACAACGAAACACAGCGTCTTCACGACATGGCGGCGGCAACAACAATACAGCGAGAATAAAAGTTACGCCTTCTTTCTTTGCGTGAACATTTGGGCGGCGTTATGCAAATCTTCCCACATAGTGATGTAGATATGTGGGGGCGTGTTAGAACGAGACGTTTTAGGTAGGCGTGGTTGACTCTTAACTTTTATAAAGAATATCTCTTTGGATTTGAGACATTAGTCTTTGCAACTTTACAGATCTTCTTTATGCACCAAGAGCTTGTAACACTCCAAAGAGAAAGGAACAATTGAAATCGCATCATATGACCCCTTTAAGGTTCCGTGGCGTCATAGACCAGAATGGAACGTTCAAATCCAGACCCAAACGCATCTGGATTCTGGAACACCCTCAGCGTTTCCGGAAATCTGAGGCTTTGGAACATTTGGAATGTTCATAGAATTTAAGCACCATATGGGTTTCTGAAAGGTTCAAAGAGAACAACAATGTTCGCCCGTAACTGGCGTGTCGGAATGTTCGATTTGGGGCGTTCCGGTCAGCAGCATTTATCAACGCGACTTGGATGCCCAAGAATGCTGTCTAGGTAGGCAGCTCTCGAAGTTCTGACACACAGCCAGAGACTGAGATGAAAAATACACAGATGCCAATGAAGCAGGTGTGACTTATATCTCAGTATATTTGTCAACAAACGCCACGGCAAAAACAATTTGATATTTAATCACCT